GGATGGCGCTTGTCTCCCTGTGGGCAAAGCTGATAAAGAAAATAGTCTTCAGAAGTTACATAAATTAGAAAAAAAAACCTAAACCAAAGAGAAATCCCACAGGCAGAAGGGGAAAGTGGGGATCCTCTGATCTTAGGAATGCTTAGAGTGGGAGGAAACGAAGGTAGGAAAACAATCATGTTTGCTACTTTGTCTAGAGCTGTGTTTCTCTGGTACCACCAAAATGTAAAAGGGACTGTGTTTGGAAGCTTGTGAGAAGTCTTTGTGTCTGTGCTTTCAGCCGTTAAACAACTCTGTGTTCTCTTTTGCGGGGTTGGGTGAGGAGATGGAGTGATAAAGGAAACAGAGGATACTGCAGCTTATACTGGGTTTTATGATCTGAAAGTGGTGGTGATAATGGAATCTTCCATGATGGGTAGCATTAGAGGATGTAGTTGTCTTCTGAGGGTGGTTGTTAATAATCTTCTGAGGGTATGTTAATATTCCCTTCTGAAGGCATTATTAATATTTATTCCCAGCAAGTTACTTGGCTTGCTTGGGACACAACATTTTTTTTTTTTTTGAAATAAAAGTAGTGCTACTTATTTTAATTCTTAATTTGAAACAAAAAGTTTAGAACTCATGATTTTTCATTGTTTTAAAATCTCACTGTAACATCTAAGTTACATCCTAATCAGTTTTGGATACTGAAGGATTCATGTCTGCTGCTATCAGGACTTTCTAACGTGATCTGACAACTAACAGCAGTATATTTATTTCATAGAAGAATTTAGTGTTTGTTCCTAATTTTTCTTTTTTGTTCTCCTTTCTTTCTTGTTTCTATTATTGTCATAAAAAGATTTAAAGTCCCTATTGGACTAGTGTGCAGAACATAAAACATAAAGCACTTCCTGAAAGGTAATTTTCCAGGAATGAAAAATGCAAGAATTGTGTTTGATAGTTTGGTCTTCTGTCATTCACTGTTGCATTAAAACAGCTATTTTTCTGTAACTATGAATGGCCTGAATCTTGAAAACTGACAGTTATGAATGAAAAACTTTAATAATTTGAAATCAAAACCCTGACAAAGTTCCTGTAGGCTTTACAAGTTAGGATACAAGAAAGATGATGCACAAAAGAAAGACACACTAAGTTAAAAAAATAAGTATTAAGTGCACTTCAGGAGAGGCTTTGCTTTGGTCAGCAGCTACTGTAGTTAGCCAAAATATTATTTATCCTGAAATGCATGTATATTTATAGAACATCAGTAATAGCCTCCTAAATAATATTTTTTAGCACTTGACCCTGGGATTTGTTCTGCCTGATTAAGAATGGACAGTACCTGGTTCTTAGAATGTCAGAACGTCAGTTTAGGCATTACTTCCCTACAGTTTATCTAATTAGCAGTGATCTGATTATGGTCTGTGACAGCTCCTGTTATTTACATATTTAATGGTGTGCATGTATACATATACTCATAGAGATGTTGTTGCTGTGGTCTTGAGGACGTGGCCCAACTTGAAACAGTGATGGTCGGTACAGAACGATAGCGGTATGCCAGAAGTCACCTTCTAGCAGTTGCAAAAATGCAGGGAGAAGGATGTAGCGCGCTTGAATTTCATAGATACTACAGTATGGTTGAAAGAACTTCAGTGTACTGGAACGAGTTCTTTTAGGTTTACTACAACGTACCAACTAGTGGAATCAGAGTAGTATCTCCTAGAACAAGAACACGGAAGTATTTCCGCTCTGTCATGCCTACGTGCACGTGTCAGGTCTGTTGATCTGGTAGGCGATACCAGACGAGAAGGTACATCTGACCTGTGTCTGTTACTGAAGAAATGTAAGGTAATCGCAGAACACCGCTGTTTCAGATGACTGTCGATGAATGCAAGAGTATCTCATGGTGGACAGCTTGTACAGGTGTCAAATTTTTTTCTACTAATTGGTGTACTATGGTCTTTAAACAGGAATGTTTCAGAGATCAAACTTCATGCTGATTGTTTTTAAATGCCTTTATTTGCTGTATAGATGTTTGGGAAGGTCGTGTGTGAAACATATTTCTGCTAAAGCAAAGTCTTCTAGTTTATTCTGTGGTTTTAAGATTTGTGAAACACTCTGAGAGACCTCGCTGAGAGAAGTTCTGTAGCAGCCTACCATTTCTTTAGCATGACAAACTTTACTTCTACAGGTTGGTAAGAACATATAGCTTTGAGATAAAAGCTGGAAAGACTCCAAGGCTAGAAAGGAGTCCTTGCTAGTAAAAAATGTGGGATGGATGAAAAAAAGAGTAAAGAAAAGGGTGGCCTTTGAAAGTGAGGGAAAAATATACTTCATTTGTTAATCTAACTTTACTCTTGGCATCAGTGAACAGTTAAAAATGGACGAGTACGCATTGTCGATTCACTGCTGAATTTCCTGTTGTAGCTGTGGTTTAGTAAACAGCAGCACTTGTTCAGAGAGTGATCATGCCTGGTCCAGTCCCAGAGAGCTGCAACTTGTCGAATCATCAAATGTTTTTTTAGTGTGGCAGGAAATATCATCATAATTAGGACTAGAATGCGACATTTAAATGCAGAAGGGTATTTATTTTAATGTATCCAAAATACTGCTGTGTGACTCTTCTGTTTGAGTGTGATAAAGGGACCAGTAAAGTAAGTCTTGTGTATCATAAATCACACTAAATATTTATGATGCAAAACTTCCAGATATCACAACTCGTTAAACGGGTGTCATTGCAGTCCCTGTCTGATTAGGTAGCCATATGGAGGAGAGTTATATCTCCATAAACGGAAAGCAAGGAATGCGAGTCCTTTGTGAATTTTCTTACAGGCACTGAGTTGCCTTCCAGCCCAACCTCACACGGGGTAACGAGTTGCTTTGCTTACCTCTGCTAACAGTTGTATGAACTTAGTGAAGTAAATTCTTGCCAGATGCTGATTTCATCTGGGTCATAAAATGTCGTACAACAGTGAATTCAAGCAATTACATTTGTACAGCATGCAAAAATATAGTAATGTCTGTCTGTGAGTCTGTTGGGGATGGGATACAGAAAATCATTCCTCCTTCTGTGTACTGTGATCTTTGTTAGTTTGATTGTCAGGGGCACTTAATATACTGCCAGTTACATTTAAATGAAAAGATGCACCTTGATTTACCTCTTTATGTTCAATGTTCTCCTTAGGAGTCAGCCACTTCCACAGCCCAAAACCACTCTGCTGGTGATAGCATAAAAAACGTTGTGCGTCACTCAATTTATCGGTTGGTGAGGTGAGCTGGACAAAAGCACACAATCCTGGAAGAGGTGTAGAGCCTGTTGTTTCCAGGTGCTCATCAGTAACAAGAACATAAAGCCACGTCATTAAATACGGACAGCGCTTGCGAGGAGAATTGTGCCCTCCATTTCAGCAGGGCTGGGTTTTCGTCCTTTGCGTCTTGCCCTAAATAGCAAATTTAGTGGACTAACAATGGGTCATTCTGAGTTCTCTAGCTGAATGATCCTTACATCATTGTCCGCTGTTCTTCCTCAACCCAGGCATGTTGCTGCCTTGTGAAGCACTCAGAGCACTGAAGGGAGCATGGGATTTCCAAGCCTCTCCAAAATCTTATAATGACTTTTTTGTTATTTCTTATAAAGCACGGATTTAATAAAGCCTGCAGGGACACAGTATTACTGAAGATTGACAAGATGGAAATTGGCATAAATGTTCAGTAGTAAAATGCTAAAAATTATGATAATATTTTATAAAGTACACTGCAAATGTAGTTTAAAACACTGAGCTCATTTTGAAAATCCTGATGATCTCACAGCACGTACACAGCATATATTTGCACACACGGATATACCAAGTGTTCTATTTTAATAGAAGTAAAGTACGTTCTCATTATTCTGTAATCTACTAGACCTGTGAAGGTTTTTAGACTGACTTCGTATCAGCATAACTTACCTTTCATCTAACTTAATTTCACTGGTTTTGGTTAAATCGCATATATATTGCCTTCAGCTATTCCCCTTTCTCTGGTACTGTATGCCCTTCATCTGCATATAGCCTATGTCCTCCTCTGTCATCGTTTGGCTATGCTGTATATATTCAGTACTTTCTAATCTTCCTTCATAAATTGATCCCTTCTGACTTATTTTTGTTGCTGTTCTCTGAATTTTCTCACAAAACTGACAAACTACTGAAATAAATCCCAGCGTTCCTAAAACTCGATGGGAATTTCCCAGTTTTGACAGCAGCAACTAGGATTTGACTCAATTAGAAGAGTTGTAGTAAAGGAAAAGCTTGTGTTCCAGTGCTTCTAAGTTCATGTCTAAGCACAGGAATTTAGAAAACAAGAGTCCTAGGCTTATACATTGCTGAACAATTGCCCTTGGATCCTACTGTGAGATCAGCTGAGAAAGCTCGCTGTCTTGCAGTTTCTGGCCCTACAGAAACCACTTTTCCACTTTTATATCACCTTAAAGGGGCTGCAGTAAATGTGAACGGTGTAAAAGCATATTGAAAATTTCCTCTAAGTGGGTATGAAATCACAGTTTGCTTATCCCACCGTTGGAGTGCTACAGTAATGCTGCTCATATCAATATATTTCTCTGTGGTTAACACTCTGATCCCTGTTAAATCTGCAGCAACTGTCTCAAGGAAATTAAATTCAGTGAAAGAAAGGAAGATTTGGTAGTTAAGCACTGGGCTGTCACTCGAGAGAATAAGGTTTAGTTTCTGCTTCTTCCCTAGACTTTCTGTATGACCTTAGGTGACTCATTTAATCTTTCCGTGCCTCAGTTCCCCGTCTATGAAACTGGCAATAGTGACGATGCAGTTTTCTGATGGTTCTGATTTTTCTTTTCTGTCAATTGTCTTGACAGTTCTTACACTTAAATTATGTGATGTTTTTGTTTGTGTACGTGTGTTGCATTCCTTGCCAAGCAGAATCCTGACAGCTATGGAGTTCTACAGGTGTTTTGCTAGTAAAATTAGTTTTTAATAAAATTCAAACCAGTATTTAATCAATTAAATGAGATGATACAAAGGGTGCAACAACATGAAAAATGTGTATTTTCCTTTCCTTCCCTTTCAGGAAATGATAACAGTGAAGCCCTTCCAGAGTCTATCCCATCTGCTCCTGGAACACTGCCTCATTTTATGGAGGAACCAGATGATGCCTACATTATAAAAAGCAACCCCATTGTCTTGCGCTGTAAAGCTATGCCAGCTATGCAGATTTTCTTCAAGTGCAATGGTGAATGGGTCCATCAAAATGAGCACGTGTCTGAGGAAAGCATGGATGAGACTACAGGTAAGGGCTAACGTGTCCTTCGGGAGATACTTCTGAGTGCAGTGTCGATCAACAATGTACGAAACAGAGCAAAGAGCAGGAGGTGACATTCGGAGATAACACCAACAGGAGAGCCGCGTGACTTAGCAGATAGTTGCAGGCTTGCACTGAGCTGAAGGAGTGGGAACCAGCTCGAATTCAGCAATCGCATGACGATGTCGGCTCTGCCCTGAACACAGCCAGTAAGCCGTGGCAGAAGGGGCCCAGAAGGCCGGGGCAGCGGGCCCCAGTGTCAGCCTCAGCTTATTGCTGGGCTGCCGCAACGAGTTTTGGTGGGCCTGGGGTGTCGGTAAAACCAGCTCATGCCTGCTTGTGATGCACCATGTGGAGACAGCTTTGCAGAGCTGGGAGAAGGGGTTTCCCAGAACGCAAATGGGAAATCAGCAGATGAAAGAGGGGAAAAAAAGGACAGAGCTGAAAGGCAGAGAAGGGGCATACAGGTCCTGGCAGAAGAGGCATAGGATGAATGGGGAAAACAAAGGAAATTAAAATAGCTGTAGATGTAGGAGGCGTTACACAGGCACGGTATGAAACAGGATATGAGCCACCGACTTTTCCAAGTGGAGACAACACTGACCAAACACTAACCTCAGACAGAGAGCTTTCGGAAAGAAAGTAACAGTTTTGGAGGGAACAGTTGTTCTCTGTATTTCAGTGGTGTAATTTGTAGTGGGAACTAGAAGCAGGGAAACATAGGCTTTTTTGAAATTCCTGTCAGGATGAACCCTGAAAAACCACCAATGTGGTGGTTGAAATTTGCCTTCGCCCCTAGGCAGTGATGGATATTTGGTAGGTAATTAAGTAGGAGAAATCCATTGTGTAAAAGTGTGTATCTAAAAGAAGAGAAGGAGAAGGGAGAAAGCTGAAAATGATCCAACAGATTTTATCATGCTCCCAGCACGCCCTATATCTCTTCTCATTTAGAAGCATCTTGGTAAGTATTGCAGGCCAATTTAATGCTGCACCGTCTTGTAATTTCACAATTCTGTTTTGTTATTGCTTTTCTCCTTTTTTTGAATTCCAAGATTGCTAGGCAACTCCATGTCTTGGAAATAGCGTGTATGCATCACATCCGCTCTAGCAATACAAGAAATTCTTTTTAGAGGAAAAAATGCCATTTAAAAAGAAGTTACATCTCCTAAAGTGGTGTTTGGCATTCTTTTTAAGTGACACATTCTGAAGAAATTTCATACTAAAGGCTTTTTGTAAATGCTAATCTGGATGAATTTTAATTTTTACAGTTACCTTTTCAAAAATAATTTAATAGGCATAACCTTTACTTCTAAAGGCACTGCTGAATCAATATAGAAGAAATGTCGTCGCTAAATGTTTTTCTTCCATATGGTTAATGAAAATCTGTCTTGTGAACGCTGCAATTATGTTTTCTAAGCCTTGGATTAATAACAGAATAAAAAAAGATAAAGTAACATTAGGTGGTTTTTTTAAATAACACCAGTAACATTAAGGTTTGAGACACGGAAGCATAGGCTTAGCAAATGGGATCTGGAATATAAACGTTGCAGGTTTGAATGCAGCCCAGGGACAGAGCTAACCCTAAAAGTATTGTTCTCTAAAACATACGTGTGGTCCAGACAGTTCGGTGTGTCTGTGTGCCCCAGAAACTACCGTAATTGTCCTTAGGCCATAAAGATGCAATAAAGGCTATGTACAGTGTAGTGATGAAGGACAGGCATGGATACTCTCTCACCATGATGTGTCCGTATCCATAAATTATTTTGGAACTCTTCCTCAGCCTTCTGTAAAGTGCAGACTATTGGGTTTTTTTAGAATTAATGTGCATACTGGCAGTGCCCTCATTTCTGGAGTCAAATCTGGGGCATAAACATGTCTGTTGCCATGCATGCACAGTGTTCTGCATACTGTGTGGGCTCCATCTGTGAAAAACTGCGCTAGAATCTGTGCCAAGCATGGTGCCTCTGGTTAAAGGGTGTGATTCTGGTGTGCTCACTAACGGGAGGTTACGCTACACGAAAATGAGTCTGTCCTTTTCCACTATTTTTTGTGTGATTAAAATTCTGAGAGGATGTATAGAGAAGTGGTGAAAAATAGCAACAAGAAACCCAAACAAGAGGAAATTCAAAGCTGAATACAAGAGATGTATCTTAGCATCTCTATAAATTCCTGCCAGCAAGCTCTTAGCCAGGCACATGCAAGAGGTACTTGGCAATGGCCCTCGAAGGAACACTGTTGTGATGGATTTTACCTCCAGCGCTGTGTTGTGTGCTTAGAAAAGGGCAGGAGGGACAGCTGTTGGGAGACAATGGGTACATTTTGTCATTATGATGAACATGGAATCCAATTTCACATGATTTTGTTTTTATAGGACAGAAATAAAAGTCTTGGAGTAAGACAGGAGTCACTGTTAATTTGAAGAGGAGGAGCAGCAGGAGAAGGCGGCGGCTTTTGTCGTTTTGTAAGCTTTGTAGTTAGAGGCTGCGACACGTGCTGGCTGCCTGAGAACGGAAGGGTCCTGCTGGGCTTGGAGAGTTCGTGCTGAAGTCTCTCCTGTTGTGGATTTGCTGCTGTTTGTGCAGAAAATCAGTGCAGGCAAGCCAACACATGCTGCAACTACGATGGATACGGGTTCCCATCTCAGTCAGCTGGTCGGTTAGAGACCAAGTTATTTCAGCTTCTCCTGCCTTTTTCCCTGAGTTGCAGAAAAGAGATAGTAATCCATAGTCTGCCTTTTCTGCTGATTGCGTGAATGCAGCAGAACAGGAATTCTGCTCCATGTACTCTGCCTCATAAAGTGAGAGCCTGAGCTAGTAGATGCTACTGTGACAAAAATACAATAATTACGGTTTGACTAATTGCCTTCTGCTTTATTTTTCTTGCCTGAACGTTGCAGCGTGCACCTTGGAATTAGTTTAAAAATATTTCAACTTATGGTTTCACCAGAGGATCAGACCTGCTACGAGTAACTAGAGTTTTCTTGTCTGATAAATAAAAGGATTACAGCAATAACTGCTGTCAGTGTTTTTCTCATGTAAATGAATAAAGCTGACAAATGCAGAAGTTCTGTGCAGCTCTGTTATGTTTAGTACATGGAGAGCAATTATTCATCTGCTGCCAGCATTAGTCTATCTGCAGCTAAACCATCCAACAGTGCAGAAAGCTTATTAGTGTATCAGTACCACGGTCATAATTTTATATTCTGTAAGGCTGTACTATGTAACAAAAGATGATGGTTATAATTTACACAATAATTTAAAGGGCTGGACCTGCAGTGCTTATTAGAGTTATACAAGTCACAGGTAAAATGTTGCCCTTGTTTATTACGTGCCTGGTTTTATTTGCATGGATTTTTTTGTTCTGTGTCATTTCCTATGAACAATTTTTCTGGCATTTCTTGAGATCCAGAGGGTAGGTGAGTATATTTGTTGTTGAAATATAGCGATGATAAATGAAGAATGTATGCCTCTGTTCCCAATAGGTTTGCTTTTTGTAGTTGTTTCTAAAACAAATGAAAATAGGCGTTCTTTCTCCATAAACAAAACATAACTTTCCCCAAAGACTAGATGTTCTCTAGAGGTCCCTTCCAACCTCAACAATTCTGTGATTCTGCTATTTTGGATGCATTTATTTTGTCTATTGGCAAATTGGGAGACCTTTAAAAGGACCTGAATTCCTACCTGTGCCATTCTCAAAATGCTGAACCACCAGCTTCTCACAGTCATATGCTGTTTGTTTGCCTGATTCAAACCACATTAAATGTTGCTTCAGAAAATACAGGCTGATATATTGATTAATTAAATAATGTGTCAATGAAAGGAAGAGCTGGGCTGGAGAATATTCTGCCTTAATAAATCTGAAGCTGTAAATGCCTGTTGTTCACTGACAACTGCTCAGAATTTTACAGTACCAATGAGCCTAGAAATGGCTTCTGCTTCTCAAAAAAATCATCATCATGTGATGATTGTTTGGGTTTTTTTTTGCTATCAGTAAAGGTTCTGTTGTCGTTAGCGTGGATGCATCTGTAAGCTGTATAATGTGCAGTTCTCATACCCATGTTTCTGTCTGCTGCTTCCAAAAATTCCTGGAGTAGCTCAGAAACTGAGAGAGTTCAGAAGAGAGCGGACCAGGACCAGGAGGGTGAGTGGCAGCACTGTCAGCAAGGCTGTAGTTATTGGCTGCAACGGGGAGTATTCTCTTCCGCAGGAAGACGCTGCGTAGAGGTCGTGGTGGGAATCAGCTGAGCCTGGGATGGGCGGATAGCTAGAGACGGGTTGCAACCTTGTTGGACATGGCTGCAAATTAGCTTGGACTTGGAGGCTCTAAAGCTTTGATGTTTTGTAGCTTTGATTGAGATCATTCAGGGACCGCACACAGCTTGTTTTGCTGTAGGTGAGTAACAAGAAAGTGTCTGTCTGTCAGTGCCGTACAGCATGGTGGGACGCCAAATTTCAGCCAGTCAAGACCTGCTGTGTCAGGTCACCAGGACTCGGATGCTCTCTAATGGAACTTACTGTAGCTGCTCTTATCTCTAACCTAGAAAGATCACTCTACAGAATGGTTGTAGGATGGAGAATCCAAGGATTCACTGCTGTCAGAGCAGTTTGGATGTTTAAATTGAGATTGTGCATTTTCATTGCGCGTTTTACAGTCGGTATGTCAGCAAGGAGAGTTTCTGACAGAACTGCGGAGTTCTGTGTGCTGTATGTACCTCATAACGGCTTGTTTTCACCATGACAGAAAATAAAGGGATGTTTTGTAAACAGTTTTGTTGAAAGCTGCATCAATGTGTAAAAAAAACCAAAACAGAATGCAAATAAAAACAACCAGGAAACCTCTGTTTGTTTATTAGAGTGAAAATATTTGAGTGACTAAAATGATTATTGAGACAACTTAGGAAGCTGTCACAGGTTTGTCCATCTCTTTAGGTATCATTCTGAAACGTGGCAAGCCAACCAGGCTAAATGAAAAGAAGTAAAAATCCCCTTTGCCTGTGCAGGAAAAGTAGCAAAAATTTTGTATTGCTTTATAGTACTTTAAGCTTGTCTGACCTTCCCCGCCCCTCTTCACGGAGCGTCCCCAGTGGGCCTCATCTCTCCTGTTTACCAAAGGAACACGTTGGCTTCCTGGTGCCTGTCAGAAGTGGAATACCCAGCTGTTAATGATGCCAGAGATTAAGCAGAAGCCAATTTTTATGGAGTTCAGGTTTAGAAATTTCTTGCTGCTTTGTAAACTTCACAGGCATGAAATATTTTAAGATTGAGTTTTCATTCATTGCCAGTGAAGGGGAAACAAGTATCTTGGGACTGCACAGGAGGAGAAAGAGGAAAGTAATACGCCTGAATGTTTTCTATTTTCAAATTAATGTTTTTCTGACTAGCTCTTTCAAATGATTCCTAATGCCTTTTAACCCAGATTTGGATTATATTTCTTCTCCCCAAGGGTGTCATGCAAAGGTACGTGCAGATACGGCAAACGTCCCAAGTGTATAAAACAAGGTGTCGTGTTTACAAGGCTTCTTGATGTCTTGGATTTACCTTCAAGCTTTGTCTGAAGCAAATGCTGCTGGTCTGGAGGGCAATACTGCTAAATTTCACCTGTGCCCAGGAGGTTATGAAAATGGTCGCAGGCTAAGCAAAAGCACAGGGCTTTTCTCATTTTTCCTCCTGGCTAGCCTTGATTATTCCCTGAGATCCTTTACTCAGCTCTTCAGGTGTAACTGATTCCTACCTCAGGAAAAGACGTACACATCCATTTTGATAAACAACAAGCAAATCTGCAGTAGGCAACAACAACATTGCACTGCAGATGAATTTAGCCAGGTTATACTTTGGGAAACCGTATAAAATAAGCAAGGTATCCATCTGATGTTATAAACACTTCTGTGTGTGAAGGTTAAGAAAGGCAGGACTTCAGTTTTGTAGCTGGTTCACTGCTTCCCGGAAGGATAGGGTGGCAAAGAGAGCCATCTCCATTGTGAGCTATGAAATTTATTCCCCTCTTCCTTTTTCTTCTCCTTCCACACAATGTTGTTGTATATTATATGATAAAATTCCAGATAAACCTCCTGGGTGAAAAAGGCACAAGAGACAAGGTTTCTGAGGGAGGTGTTATATTATTGCAAAGACTGAAGTGGATGGGTAATTCTTGTAACTCAATGCATCATGACCTACTCAGCTTTTTAATTAGTGGCAATATTATTGTCAAAGTAATTAAAGCTTTGCCTTGATTAAAAATGGAATTGTTTAATTAAAAGGTTTGGCTAACCTTAGCTTTATGCCCAAGTAAGATAGCCTGTATCAACTGTAGATTTCTGTATCTTTCCCCTTCAGGACTGAAAGTTCGAGAGGTGTTCATCAATGTGACGAGACAGCAGGTGGAGGATTTTCATGGGCCGGAAGATTACTGGTGTCAGTGTGTTGCATGGAGCCACCTCGGGACCTCCAAGAGTAGGAAGGCATCTGTCCGCATAGCCTGTGAGTAGGAGAGATGTTCTGCTGTTCCAGGTTTTGTGAGGTATGGAAACATACTGCTCTTTTAGGTCAAATAGAAATGGAGACTGGTAAGGTACTGCTCTTTTTGGAAGCCCTCCCTATGAGATACTGCAGGAATATACAGAAACCATGCCATGGTTTTTTTCAGAGCTCTCTCTTATTTTAACGTGGGTTGGTTGATTTGCGTTTGCACTCAGCAAGTCTGTTTTGGAGATTCTGGGTTGCATATGCACAGTGTCACAACAATGCAATGTAATTAAAAAAGGTTAATGCAAATTGAACCCCCCCCCGATAAGTGCCCTTTTGCTCTGTGTTGATCAGAGACGTCAAAAAAAAATACAAAAAACCATTTAACTTTGTATATAAAAAAAAGCAAGATTACATTAGAAGCTTTTGTAGCATAGTGTTTTAAATCTGGGTTTCAATATTGAAGCATATCATTGGTTGTCAGGTATGATAAGCTGTGGGGAAAATGAGATAAAAGTATGAAAAATGGAATAACTCCAACTAGTAGAGGAAAAAATATCTTCTCTTCTTTCTCTGAGGTAATGAGATGCAAACATCCTAACCAGAACTAAGACTACTACAGAAATTCCGTCATTTCTCTATGGAACTAAGCATATATTGTTTAGAAAAAAATAATTTTAAATGCTGCTCATATAGACATTTATAAGAGCCTACTACTGGAGATATTAAAATCATGAGCAAGATAGGTGGTCTTAACCATTACTGTGAGATTGTGGAGATACTCGAAGCCTCATCCAATTTTTACCTTGCAATTGGATCTGCTACATTTTTGTAACAGAGTCAGAGCCTGAAACCATCCTTTTGCAGCAGTGCTGCTAGCAAAGAATTCAGGAAATTACTTTCCCCCAATCTGTTGTGAATCCTTTTCCTTTAAATCACCAGCTGAGGTCTTTAAAGACCTAGTCCCAGGAAAAGGTGGCAACGCCCTGCAAAGAGCTGGGAGAAATCCTTTTTGGAAGGAGATGAGAGGCAGGAGGAACTGGGTAGGGGAGGTTCAGGCAAGAAACTCTGAATGGTAGCTTCATCAGCTAGTGTTCTAGCAATTTTTGATACATCTTTTTCTCTAAAATTGTGCTCTTGTAACAGGGTAACTTAAAATCAATGTTTGAGATAAGTAATAGGACAATATAGCAACTCCTTGATTTTGAGCAGTGACAGATTTTTGTGTTGGCTGATTTAGTTTGAATGTGTAAATATGTGTAAATTCAGTTTTTTATTTTACTGCATTAACTGTCATAACATTGAATGAGCTAATAATTCCCCTGTATTGCTAAGCTGCAAAGGGCTATTATTCTGAATTGAATTTTTATTGACTTTTCTCTGCACTGTGATTTCCCAACCCCATAATACGGCAATATGAGTAAAAATCAGAATGAGCAGAAGCAGGTGGAGCCGTGTGTTGGGACTTTTAAACCCATCGCTGTGGCACCCGTTCTGCAGCCCCCATCCCCAGCTGCCGTCCCTAGCCGCGGATGGCAGACCAAGCCAGCAGGCACTGCGGAGAGCGCTCCCCGTCGCTGCTTGACGGGAGGTGCGGAGTGCGGCCGAATGTTTCGCCTGAGAACTGTGTTCCTGTACTGGCCATTTGCTGTGCTACTTTTACTTGAAGCCATGGTTTTTTATGAAAAGAACAGCAGTTCTTGAGTGCAGAGATGATGGGGCTTGTTAGTACTCCAGACAGAAAAAATCAACAGCTGCCAACAGATACGTGTAAAGCAGCCGCCAGGAGCTCCCAGGGCTCACCCCTCGGGGACTTGTGGTGTCCTGTCTGTGGGGAACAACCCAGCTTCTTAACTGAGGGCATGGGTTCCGACTCGGGGAGTTCCCTGTAGAGGACCAGAGATGAGAATGGGTAGGTCGCATTTGTGATAGCGTACAGAACCTGTCATTGTGATGCACAGTGTGGTAGTGTCAATTTTTTTTTTTTCTTTTTTTTTTTGTACTTAAAGCCTAGAGATTCTGAATTGTGAGTCTAGTCCAAAGCATTACAGCACTTTATATATCTCTGGAAAAGCAGGTAAGTATTTCTTTATGGTAGTGTGGGAAGCAGAGAAAAGATGGATCTTACTCCAGTTTTCATCCTAATAAAGGCATTTGTAAGCACAACTGCAGCCTAACTGTTAATGAACGACATTTTAAATAGGGTATGGGAAAAGATATTGGTTATCTGTGTGAAAAAAAACCCCAACATTAACAAAGAATCATAAAAAGGAGAATACATGCACTGCGTGCATCTTTCTCTAGTGACTGGCTTGCTAAAATAAGTCTTAATGTATTTTATAAGATATATTAAAGTGTAACTGTTTCGGAGCCTCTTCTGTTTACGGGGATGTATTTCATGAAGTGTAAGCAATGGAGAAAATTAAACCGGTAAATCCACGCTGTGGAATTTGAGACACTGTTTGAAGACAATGAGTATGTCTAATGGAAACCTCCTAACTCTCAAAGCACATGTTGTAAGCAACATTCCTTACATTTTGTTTTCCTTTCACAGTGAGCAAAACTTTCCATGTTCAAGGGCACATCTGGGTGAGGTCAGTGGCGCTGGATACGGGCTGCCCTTGTCTCTGTTCTGGTTTACCCAGACACTTGTACGTAGAAGTGCTGCGGCCACATCAGTGGGACTCTGAGACAACGTGCCCTGTTTCTTACCCTGAATTACTAGCTTGGCCGTGCTATCTGAAATGCAGCAGTCTTCTCAGCCAGTTAGGAACGTGCGGAATTGCTCGCAGTCTGTTCCTTCCTTTGCCTACAGCTTGCAGCATGTAGGCGATCTCAACAAAACATCTAGCTGAGAACATTTTATAGACTATCCTGGCACTCATCTGAAGTAGCATGTACCAGGAAAATGATTCACCCCGTCTTGGCTTCATTCAGTTGGTTCTGACAGCGCCCTGGCAATAACGTGGTGTTGTTTGTGTAGTTCACTCCCTGTTTCAGAAAGGCAGGGGCTTGAGAGATGGAATGCACAGCTGGAACCACGGAGTTTGTGGGTTCTGATACGGGATTGTCTCTGTAGACACACACAGATTGCTTCAGAAAGGTGGAGAAACGGAAACACAACTAAAGATGATTGGAGCTCTTTGCCTCTCACCTAGGGAAGAATTAGTAGCTCTCAGTTGTCCAGTGCTTGGTACCCCCACTTAAGAATATGGCAAAGCAGTATTGTTGCTGACTTCTGCAGCCTACGTAGGATTGTTTGGGGAGGAATGGCTTTTGGAGGTCTAATGAATTATTGCATTAAACTCCGCAGATTTGCGCAAAAACTTTGAGCAAGACCCGCAAGGGAAGGAGGTTCCCATCGAAGGGATGATCGTCCTCCACTGCCGGCCGCCCGAGGGAGTCCCCGCAGCCGAGGTGAGGCTTTGCGCGGCTGCTGGGGAGTGGGGAGAGAAGCAGAAGGGGCTTAGCTACCCTGCAGTTTTCAAGGTCCAATGTTGGCTATAGTGTTCTTCTCACACAGTTTGCTTTAGATGTGTACTTTTTTATTATGTAAGTCTTAAAAAGATATGGCTTTTTATCAGAATTCGGGAATGTTTGGTGAAAAAATCCTAGTTTTGATACAATTTTCAAGTTTTATGCTTACAAACTGAAAACAGATTGTTACATATTTTGTCAGAAATTACTGCTGTCATTGAAAAATAAAACAAAAAATCTAAAAATATTATGATAAATTGTTGCTGGAGAGAAAACTGCTGCAAATAATATTTATTGTCAAGGGAGTTGAACCTTAATAGAAAATTAATTGGGGTGCCTTAAAGTGATAATAGCCAGACTGTTCTTGGAGGAAGATGTTCTAAGTGGGTTGTGTTTAAAAATCTGCTAGAGAGGCATTAAAAAAAAAAAACTCCAAACAAAACAAAAAACCAAGGAAAATCTGATGGTGGAAGCTAGCATGGCATCACACTGTTGTGCCTCTCAAGGAGCAGGCTGGTGGTGGTGGTCAGGCAGTGCTGCCGTGGCCAGGCCGGTTCCGAGCCCCGGTGACCCGGGCTGAGCCGCAGTCTGGCCGCACGCAGGCTGCCGCGGAGGCCGGGCCACGGGGCTCGCGCTGTGGAGCAGCCCCCCGACACTGTGCTGCGTCTCTGTGTGCTCTGCAGTGTGCTCTGTGGCACCTTTTGATGAGTCAGACAAATAGTACCAATCCGAAGTTATTTTTGCCCCTTATCTCCGCGGTTGCTGTGGTACGTTCTAACTGAAGGAACGAAAGAAGCAAGGGAAAATAAACTCCAGAGAAACATGCGACCTTTTAGTTAAGGAGAAATATGTTGAGCAGATGCCATTGAAAATAGAGAGGAGAAATGCAGCAAACTGGGTTGCAAAAGACACTGAAAATCAGGGAGAAGTGTGTAAGACCAAAAGGAAAACGAGTTAGAAATAAGAATGGTGAGTAGATGAATTTGTATTTAGGCATCTAATGTGCATTACTCTGTCATTCAAATTTTTGCTACTACATTCTCCTCAGCTGTGTATTATTTTTACTCATGTTTAGTGTGACTAGAAAAATGGACACTGCATTACAGAGAATTGCCAAAATTATTGAAAAGTGTATTCTGGTAAATGTATCTATTTGTAGATGAAACAAACTTCCAAAGGTGTCATTGCCCACACGCCCGTGGTCTGTGTGGGATTCGGGGAGGGTGGTCCTCACTGCCTGCAGAGCTTCCCCAGAGCCTCCAGCTGGCAGCCTCAGGGGCCTTTCTGTCTCAGAGTGCGTATCCCTCCAGATTGCCACTGTGTCCTGTCTCAGAAAGGTTTGTTGTCTCTGTGGTAAAAGTTTCCATTTTGCTTATTCCTCTCACCCTGGTTCAGCTCATTCCACAAAACTAGACAGACTATATATTAAGACAAGTGAATTAATAAAATGCCTAAAATCAAGTTCAGAGTTACAGGAAAAGGGCTGGAAACAAGCAGTTACACAGTGAAATGAAGTGTGATGTGACCTCTACTTGACTGCAGAACATCTTTCTAAGCTGCGGAGATGTGTCTGACCCCCGGTCCTGGTGGTGTGCATCAGCCTGGGGAGCTGGCAGCCCAGTGTTCATGGAGGAACTCTGCCTTCTCCAGTGCCTTCAAGTTCTGGCTGTCTTCCTCTTCCTTCCCCCATTGTCCCTTCTAGATGTGCTTCTCTAGGTGTCTCTCTGTCCAACGTGTAAGCGCTGTCAAAGGCTTCCCAGCTCTAGTCAAAGCTGTTCCTTGGATGCAGCCCTCTTCCACCCGCCACCATGTTTTTTTTTCTCTGTTCAATTGCCGAATATACTTTCTCAAAACTTTGAAGCTTTCAAATACTCCTTGTGTTTTCATTACAGCGTATGTTCACTGAAGGAATGTTCTTTAATGTGATAAGGATCCTAGTACCTTCTTTAGGAGATTACAGTACATTTTTCTCCATTGACTATATTTGCATAGTCTGAAGAGTATATACTGCCATGTATGTCACTTTGGTTTTGTTAATAATTCTAAAAGTACAGCATTTAAAGGTGACCAATAAGTTTCCAAGTGAAAAGCTGTATAAAATCTGTATTTTCGCTGAGACTAAAAGAAACAAATAATGAATTATTGAGTAAATAGGTACACTGTACCCAACAAGCATGGTTTGCTGACATTTTAATTGCTTTCTACAGATAAAAATTGTAGAGTTCTCAATAAACCCTGATTTACTGATGTTGATTATAAAATTGTTATTGCTGCTAATAAAGCCTGTAAATCTTAACAGGTCATATTTGCTTTGCACAATAAAATTCCACATAAAGACTCAGGATGCAAGGCAAATTCTATGCTCATCAAGGTAAACCGTCTACTGGAAATAATTCAACATCTTTAGAAGCTGGGTACTAGATTCAAACAAGTAATGGCTCTGGTCTGTGGCAGTAAGCTTGGGGTTATAAACTCTTTTGGTATTTTCAAGTTAAAGATGACTTGCCCTGTTAAACATGTGGATGACAGATAACTGAGATAGCCACTAAGACTGGCTCAGTAATTGTTATGTGGGTACTGAGAAGTGTAGAAGGTTTCAAAACCCAGTGCTGGCAACAAATCTATGGTTCTGATCCAAGAATTTATTTCATTAGAGTTTGGATGAAGCCCTAGATGAAAACACAAGGCTCGAAATAACTACAGACAAGCAAGCTCGTCTTCCATTTCATTAGATGCAAAATAGATGCTAATTGTGGCATTGTTGTTGGTTGGTTGCATTTTTTTATCCATTCTCTGCATGGACCTGGAAATGCAAACTGAAACAAAACAGATAGGAGACTCCAGCCCCTTTCAAGTTACCATGCCAATATCTGTCTGAATCCCTTGGGAAGATTCTGATTATTCCATCAAGTGCAGAGGTTCAGGAACGTTATTTTCCCAAAGAGCACACATTTCTGTGCTTGCCATAGTCACAAGTTAATCTAACGATTTGTCTCTGACAGAGGCTCGGAATGACTGATACAGTCAAACCTCTAATCATGCAGTGTGACTCAGTAAGAGGCAGACACTTTACAACTGGAATGAAATTTAAGTTCAGCTTGGTTATTTATGTGCCTCGTTATCAAGAATATAAATCTTCATCTCTGGAATTGTTTTTCTGCTGCTTAGAGGTGCTGAAGATTTCTTAAATCTAAGGACAGAAGCATTAAAAGTAAATGTTCTTGATCTATTCTGTAGCTTAATTTGAAAAATCCTGTCATGAGTCCTATAAGAAGTGGAAAGCTGGGAGATTTTTTAGTGATGGCTGACATCATAATTTCCTTGGAATTACCAGGATGAAGAGCCTTTCTTTCCCACTATTCCTTTCCACATTTCTAGTCACTCCTCTAATATTTTCACCTAAGTGATTGTAGCCACTGCTAATGTTTCCTTCTTTCAAACCGAGTGAGGGGATCTCCGCAGTTCTTGCCAGGCAGAGGTACGTGTTACTAAGTACATCAGCATTTCCCAGGCGTATTTATGCCAGTGTGTGCCGTCGCTGGCAACCCCTTACTGTGCGTTTGTGCAGGAAAAAGCGTTTCACCGAGCAGCAGCGTTAGGGGTCCACATCCGAGAATCCCTGAGCTGTCATCACAGTCAGTATCTTGGCCAATGGTGCCTCCCAGTACTACTCCTTTTTTTTTTTTTTAATGTACTTTAAAACAGCAGGGATGATACAGTGATCGTACAGTGATCAAGACCAAACCTTTCTAGAGAAAGGTTCTCTAGATCAAGTTCCATCTTGTTGGGAGAAACTTCTGTTTCTACCATCTGTTCCAGAATGAGTAAGACTTCCATTTCTCATCACCAGTAGCAATGAAAATACCCAGATTGTTTGCTTATATACATTGATTTCCACACACAATATGTATAAAAGGAGTTAAGAGAATGTGGATTAAAGGTTTGGATCCATGGTGTAAAGGTATCTAAACTGTATGTGGCTTAAAACTTGGCTTGTATAAATTAATTTACAAAGAATGGAAGCTCATGTGACATTGTTAATGCTCTGCATGCTCATACAGTTCCGTTTTAGTAAATAGTCTTTAAGCTGAATAACACATTAGTGAAAGCAAACAATCAAGGAGGATTACAATTAAAGAACGGCAGTATTCTAGTTCAGCTTTAATGTTACAGAGGCATGAATCAGGAGCACCAAATCCTGCTGAGGCAAGCCCTGACTGTAACGCTGCTTTGAAACGCACTGTACTGTCTTGATTCATTTAGGAGCAAATGTCAGTTGCTTGTGTCAGCTGGGTCTGAAGTAAAAGACATGTAAAGGGGCATCTCTCGAAATCTGCATTCTCTTTCCAAGAATTTGATGATGCTCTTCATGGAGCCAAAGTCCATCTCTTGTGCAGGAAATACTATTGAATGTGCCTGATTTTACTATTAATAAAACCTCATGTGGCAACGCCACACACCACCTCTTGGAGCACCACGGCTCTGCTCCCAGAACATGCTGCCTTTCAGTGCATACGCGGGTCCAGGTCAGCGGTCTTCAGTCACTCTGTAGCCCACCCAGTATTTCTGTCTCTGCAGTCTTTGTTAGCAGGTTTCCTGTCTCCAGAGTGCCTCTATGAAGAAGGGAACACAAGAAAATTCTGCACATCTCTGCTTCGGGTGGTTACTGAGGGTTTGGGGCAGCCTGGGTGCATTGCCACAGCAGTAAGAGTGTTACAAAACCCAAAGCCTGACACTAAGCAGACTGGAACAAGGTTTTAAATCCTCTTCTCATGCATTCACATCGCAAGCAAAACAGAGCTGGTGAGCAGCTATGCTTGCAGGCATCGGCACCCAACCCAAATAAATTCAGGTTTGTAGGAGTTAAACATCAAAATAAAAAAGAAAATCCAGCATTTAACTAAAGCATCTGATAGTCCCCTGCTGTGGCAAATGTTGAT